ATGAAGGTGTGGAGACGAGGGTTTGTCGCGTGTTTTCTGGTCGCGAACGCTACAATTTCTAGCGTCCCAAAATTTTAAACGCTGGACGCTAGCGTTTGGTCGCTGCGACCTGTCGCTCAACCCGCGACCACCAAACGAACATCGTTTCGCCGCTGACGCTAGCGACCACCAAACGAACAGGGCCATGAATTGTGTGGGCACCTTTTTGTTTCCTTCCAGCTTTCCTGTTCCTAACATGTCACATTCAGTCCACGCATTTAAGCCAAAAAAATGAACAATGAATCTGTGGAAACTGAAAAGGGACTTTGACCTTCCAATGGTTTCCGCAGATTGAGTTCCCAACAAATTAGTCATCAAATCTAATTGCTGGACTGGACCACGTGTTCACCAGGGGAAAACAAGTTGTTCTATAAGAGATGTCACTATAGAGAAACACACATTATACTTCAAATATATATTGACATCGTGTACTGAACATAAGAAAATAATTTCAAAAAAATAACATTACAAAGCCAATTACAATCTACAAGATCACACAATGACTATTATTTCCTATTAAGATAAAATGTGATAAAATAATGTATCTCTGAAAACGACGTTTTGTATATGTGAAAAAAGTGTTTCAAAGAAATAAAAAGAATGTACAAATGGAAAACATAAGATGAGGCAAAATGTTATTCCAAAGAACATGTCATAACAACTTTATGGGTCACGTTGATTTCGACGGAAATTAAATAGACTCCACATGTGAACAAAATTCTGCAGCTTTTGGATCACCAAAAAAGCTACCCTAGCCAAAAAATTGGATACGAAGATATGTAGACCACTACAAGAAAGAAGGTTTTTTCTGACAGAGATTATGACCGATATTTTTTTGGCCGGAAATTTTCAACAGATTTCCAAAGGAAATGTAATTTGGTCAGAAATTTCCGACGGTTAACAATCCGACAGAAAACGTTCAAAAATTTCCAACTGTTTCCAACTAAAATAATTTAAAATATTATCCGTCAGAAGATCTTGGGAAATCCATTGGAAATTTCCAACCAACAACACATCGGTCAGAAAGTTCCAATGGATTTAATCAAAATTTGAAATTTTTTGTAGCAGTTGGGAATCGGTCAGAAATAGTCATAAGTCGGTCAGAAATTTTGTCTTTAAATACCATAATCACAATCCTCGCTCATTCACAGATTTAACTCTACAAAAAAATTCTCTACAATACAAAATGTCTTCCTCAAATCATAATGGATATTTTAGGTCTTGGATATATCACAATCATCAAGATCCATCTACTGAACTTGTGAGAGAGAGTTTACGGAAGGTCTGGTCATTTGCCTCAAAACAGCAGAGGACTTTGGAAATAGGTAAGATGTATTGACCTTGTTCAGTTTGTCAAAATCGTAGATTTAGTAGTGTAGGAGGCAGTTATATAGTAAAGGATTTATGACGGGTTATAAAGTTTGGTATTGGCATGGTGAAACTAATTTATGGTGAATTTCGGTAGTACTAATGAAGAAAATTATATGGTGAAGGGGGGGGGGGGTAGGAGAACAACAAGGTGGCTTAGAGATCAACATATAGGAAACTGGTCAAATGGTTGAAGATAAGTATAGAGTGGAGGAACCAAAATTTTGAAGTGCAAAAATTTTGTGATATGTTAGATGCAGCAAAACATTCGTTATATGATGGATGTAGAGATGGTATTTCACCTCTTTCAGCTGCAACAAAGATGATGTCTATTAAAATAGATTATAACTTAAGCGAAGATTGTATTGATGCAACAGCTGGTTTTGTGAAAGATATATTGCCGGAAGATAATCCTTCACCAAATACATATTATGAGATACAAAAATAGGTTTCGAGGTTGGCTTGCCCTATCAAATGATAAATTTTTGCATGAAGAACTATATGCTATACTGGAGAAGGGATGTTGATCGTACTAGTTGTCGATTTTTTCACAAACCATGGTTAAAAGAAACAATTCGAAATACTAAAATCCCGTATAAGAGAATGTGGCACTTGCCAATAATAGACGGACTAAAGAGGTTATACCAATCCAAACATACTGGTGAGGCTATGAGATGGCACGGTGAACATAATAGCGACGGAGAAATTTCTCATCCATCAGATGCAAAACTGTGACAACATTTTCAGTCAGTGTATCCTAGTTTTGCATCTGAGAGAAGAAATGTTTACCTTGGATTAAGTACGGATGAATTCAACCCGTTCGGAAGCCATGGGAGAAAATATTCTCTTTGGCTAGTTGTTGTAACACCATACAACTTACCTCCATCTTTGTACATGAAACGAGGGTTCTCTTTCTCACAATTCTAGTTCCTGGTCCTGCGCATCCTAAAAGATCTCTTGATATATATGTGCTACCATTGATTCATGAGTTGAAGATGTTATGGGACGAAGGAGTTGAAGTGTATAATATATCTTGTAGGCCAAATTTTACAATGCGTACAGTGCTTATGTGGACCATAAGTGACTTTCCTGCATACAGAATGTTGTTTGGGTGGACAACACATTGAAGATTAGTGTGTCCCTTATGTCAAGATAACACAGCTGCATTTCAACAGAAGAATGGAAGGAAGACATGTTGGTTTGATTGTCATACACGATATCTACCCCATGATAAGACTTAACGAAAAAACACCATTTTTTTACTAAGAACAAAAAGGTTTTTGATGGTCCACCACCAGAAATACATAGAAATTCTATCATGACTCAACTCAGAGATTTTGGTTTCGAAGCGTCAACTAAATGTCGTGGAAATAGTCATGATCCAGTTTATGGATATGGGGAACATCACAACTGGCACAAGAAAAAAAATTTCTGGAAGTTTCCGTATTGGGAGATTCTTCTACTTAGGCATTATGTAGATGCACATAGAGAAGAATATCTTTAACAACATCATGAATACCATTCTCAATGTCAAAGGAAAAACAAAAGACAACCTAAAGTTCAGATTAGACTTGCTAGATATATGTGCCTGGGATATTCTCCACGAGGATGGGAGAGGAAGACTTCCAATGCCTATCTATCGGTTAGATGCGGCTGCAAAACAAGGTTCTTCGACCAGAATATAGATGACATCAAATTCTCAGATGGATACGCGTCTAATCTAAGGAACTGTGTTAATCTCGCAGAAGGAAAGTTTTCTGGTTTGAAAAGTCATGATAATTTTCATATTTGACATAATTTTTTCTTTGTTACATGAATAGCAGATTTCTTTCGAGATTTGTGCTCGAGATCATTAAAAACAGATGGAATCAGAAGCTCGAAAGAAAAGATTCTGATAATTCAATGTAATCTCGAGAAGATTTTTCCACCTTCTTTATTTGATGTTATGGAGCATCTTCCAATCCATCTCGCTCGAGAGGCAGAATTCTATGCATCATTTCAAGCAAAGAGTGAAAAATTTAAGCCGAGCTGAGGGCTCTATTTTTTCACAAAGCATCAATGAGGAAATGTAACAGTTTGGTTCTTACTATTTTCCCCAGAAGTAGAGACTAAAAGTCGAAAACCTTTAAGACATGATGACAGAGGGCAGAGATAATATGTTTATCGTGTCGAGGTGTCTAACATATTTTTCCAAATTGGTCGATTAAGTGGAAGACGAAAAAGTAGAAGACTCATCGAACATGAGCAGTTGCACTTACATATAAGTACATTTTAGCAAAATACGAAGTAGTAATGACATATGAAAGGTAGTTTTGTTTTAGTATGATGTATTAAAAAACCTATTTTGTTAATAAATTTGTAACAAATTATGCTTTCAATGGCAGTATTTACATGGAGCAGCAAATAAGGGGTGCATATCCTAATTACACTGAGGACCAGGTATCTGCACTTAAGGAAAATGAATTCGTAAATTGGCTTAAATTCTATGTAAGCTTTTCGAATCTATTCTCTATTACTTCTGAATTTTAGAACTTTTTTACATGCTGGATTACTTAAATTTGACTATTATACATGTAAGGTTCTCGTCTAGAGGAGATCCAGTTAAACCATGGTTACATGAGTTGGCCTTGTCCATTGGGCCCAAATTTTATGCTGTGTCGTACCCAATGTACTGCACGTGTGGATATGCTTTTAAGATTTCCAGTGAGAACAATACACAACCAATTATAAATCATGGAATATCTGATAGATATGGCGAAGTAATTTACTACGCTATTTTGCGTGAGATATTGGAGATTCACTATCCGGGGATCCTTAATTTGAGGTGTATTGCCTTCTTTGCTGATTGGTACAACCCAATTGTTGGATATGGTGTACAGATTCACGAATTTGGAGTAACATCCGTTCATTCCAGAAGGAGACTTGCAAACTGTGATCCATTCATTCTGGCTTCACAAGCATATCAAGAATTATATTCGCTATCCTCGTGTGACTAACAAACAAGACCCTTGGATCACCGTGACCTATATAACTCCAAGGGGGAAAGTAGAAGGAGTTTCGGATACAACCGCGATGCAACAATCTTCGAGCAATTCCATAGATGATCTTCATGTTAATAACGATGAAATCGGTCTTGTTGTTGATTTTACTGGTGAATGCGACAGCGAAGTGTACTCAGATTCGGAGTCGGAGAGAGGAGAATTCAGAGTATTCCTCTAATTCAGATTAATTAAAAACTTGTATAAGTTAAAAATATATTTTTTATTTTGTAATATTAAAGAGAAAATGGTGGTCCTAAGAAACTATAGAAATGGTAAGTGTTATCTTTTTATGAAATATTACTAATTTCCTCATACATTTAACTCATATTCTTACATCATTTGTGTGTTTAATGGAAGGCTGTTGAAAGGGGTGGTGTTCCACCAGATTGGTTAGATTTTATGAGGGATATGCACACCAATAAACAAACCAGTGAGGTGCAAGATCTCGTTGCGAGAGAGCTGTTGGAAACTCTGACTAAGCTAAAGGAAGACAAAGAAGCACAACTTCAGCAGTGTTAGTTGTGTGCCAATGATGGATCTACAGCTTCCAACATGATGTCCCGCAAAGAGATCAACCTAATGGTTCTCGAGGTATTTCTAGTTTATGTGAATTTAACAAGTAATTTATAGTTCTTACTAAATTTTTAAATTTTCCTATTTTTCTTTTGTAGAATGTTCCTCTTAAGAAAGGTCGTCGCTATGGTATCGGTCGTACCTCGCAGGGTATCACAACCTCATAGTCTAAGCTCTCTTTTTCTTCCTTGAGTATTGTTCAAGACATGGTACGGATGAAGATGGAGTTTGATGAAGAGCAGAGAAAACATCAAGAGATGATGACGGAGCTTGATCAAGATCCGACAATACGCCAAGCTTCATAACGTCGTCAGTTTCATTTCCAACTTTTACCCTTTACAGTTCTCTGCATCTCAAAGCCAACCCGACTTTGAAATCCAAAGCCCCGATGAGTAATGTTTCTAGTAAGGAACTTTGTTTGTCAATTTTTTTTATATTCTATTATGTTTGAATTAAGCACTTTAGTATGTTTGCAGACAATGAAAATGTAAAATTATGTACTTTATCAATGTATTTTAATCTTTGCAAAAACTTCTAACCGAATTATCGGTCAAAAACTTATGACCGCAGTATCCGTCAAATATTTCTGACCGAAACTTTCGTCAAAATTTTCTGATCAAAGTATTCGTCAAAAGTTTCCGTCCAATTTGTTCTTCAGAAGTTTTCTGACGGACCTGCCGTCTAAAATTTTTGACCGTTAAAATTTGTTGGTTATCGATCAGAAATTTCTGACCATTTCCGAACACTAAGAAATTTCTGTCCATATAGATCTGACAGTCCATCCTGTTGGAAATCCGTCAAAACGGGCCATCTCCGACGGTTTTCTAACATATATGGCCGTCAGAAATTACATGATTTTCTTATAGTGACATGTGAAGAAATAAACTATATATAAGATTTTATATACACAGTTGGAAGTAGCTGGTGTCAATAAAGATCACAAAATCACGTTACTTTAACGAGTGAAAAATCTAACATTAGCTTTGATGCTGGATTTACTTTCTCGTTTACCATAAATGGTCCATCAAGAAGAACAATCTGTCCCATATTTCTAAACACTCGGGTTCAAGCTGAACAGTCACACAAAAAAATTTATAAAGAACTTGGTCTCTTTATTGAATGTTTAGAAACTTATGCTCAAAACTAAACACTCTTCTATCGTTATATCAATACCACAAATTCGGTATGTATATATATAGTAGAGTAGATATTCTTTTCCTATTGATAATAGAAAACTCCTAATACTACTAGGTTTATAACAAAGCTTATCTTATCCTTAACCAACTTGTTAAAGGATACCTTGAGGTCCAGGTAATCAAAGCTTACCCAACAATTTCCTTCTAAGTTTTAAAGCAGTGTTAGACAAGTCTTGAACTCCTATCAAGTCTCTCATCTCAATGAACTTAATTCTTGCCAAATATTTAGTGAGGATATCAGCCTTTTGTGACATTCCCGGTGTTGGAAACAAATATCTAGGCACCAGATTCCTCTAGCTCCCGGGCTGGGCACCAGACTCAAAACTCCTGCTTTGATGGGACCCAAGACCCAGACCCTGCTTCCAGGTTTCCAAGGTCCAACCCCTGTTCCAAAACCAACTCCTGGGTAAAACGGAAATTCTCCATCCAAGGAAATTCGTCCATATTTATCAATATGAAAGGTTTTAACCTAATACATCCGACATCTACACCTATAAAATGGTAGCCCAAACCTTAGAATAAGGGATCGACACCTTAGAGATTGAGAGACTAGAACTAGGCGGCTAGAATTAGGGTTCTTAGACCAAAACCTTGTAATCCCTATTCGATTGATCAATAAAACGTCTCATTCTATTGTTTCTCTTTGTTCATACTCAAACCTCTAGTGTTTCGTAGTACTAAAACGACCCTACATAAAAATACCATAACAGCTTGACGCTAGAGGGAGGGGAGTAATCCAACTACCGGACGATGACACTAGAAGATCTAGTCGAACAAACCGGAACTACTCCGAGAGAAACCGAGCTCCTCAGCCATTTCGATATCCTTCAAGGAGAAATCACCGAGTTTCTCAAGGCTCAAGAGACAGCAGGCGACAGCTCCGAGCTTCTTCAAGAAGTTCAAACCCTAAAAGCTAAGCTTGACTAACACGGTAAGCAATTACAGCAAAGCGCCGAGAAAGTGGGGGCACTCGAAGCCGAGAATCATCTTCTTCAAGGAGAAAACCACGACCTCGGAGAAAACAGCAACAAGCGCCGAAAGTTTCAAACCCTTCGTACCATGCCTTCCCTCGACACTCCCATCGATGAAGACTGTGCGACTCGACGACCAACTCTCGAAGATAAATAACTTGGGAACAAAGAAACTATGACGAGGAAAGCACGGGTGACGATAAGCAAAAACTCTTACATGGAAGACGAGGAATACTCACCCGACAATCCTCGATCTCGGATCCAGCCTTCGTCGCTTGCCTCGGGAAGATGTTCCCCGAAAGATTCAACACCATCCAGTCCATGGTGGAAAGACTTCCACGCGTAGCTCCCCCTATTAGGAGAAGTGATCCCAACTTTTATTCCGACACGCCTTTCGTGGAAGAAATAACCTAAGTCGAGATAGGAAATTCTCCTTCCCCGCCATGAAGACATACGACGGAACTAGTGATCCAGATAACCACGTGGCTCTTTAAAAGCAAGGGATGCTGATAGCCGCGATCCCCCGAGGATTAACAGAACCTGCCATATGCAGAGGCTTCGGCTCAACCCTGACCGGTCCTTCCCTCCAATGGTACATCCATCTCCTCACAAAGTCCATAAAGTCTTTCGCAGAACTTAGCGACAGATTCGTGGAGCAATTTGCTAGTAGCAGAAACCTGGAAAAGAACTCTGATTACCTCTACGAGGTACTTCAACACAGAGTCGAACCACTAAGGGCCTACATCGCACGCTTCAACCAGGAAAAAGTAGCCATTATCGAGTGCAACACATGGACAGCTATCTCTGCCTTCAAAAGGGGTCTGCTCCCCGAGGGAGACCTGTATAAGGAGCTAACCAAGTACCAATGTAAGACAATAGAGGATGTCTTGTCTCGAGCCTGGGCACAAGTAAGATGGGAAGAAGACGTCACAAGTTGAGCTATGGCCCAGCAGAAGCAAAAGCCAATTTTGAACAAGCAACTAAGGAGCGACTGTTGGGCCCAAATATGACCTGTTAGCTGCAGCTGACAGGCCTGAATAAAAGTAACTGATAATGGGCTCTTATAAAGCCCATTAGTAATTACATCTCGAGAAAAGAGTTAGAAAGAAGCCGGAGGCTGTTTGCTAAGGAAAGAGCGCCACCAAAACAAGTCACGGATGATGGTGCAATTGGTAGAAAGAGCTCAGGATAACGAGCGCACGTTGCATCAGCTAACTGCTCGACAGCAACGGTTCGAGGAAGTGACTAGACCTCTAACCGAGACAACTCATCTGTCGCAACGCCAAGGATCGGGAGTCACCTTCCGAGACCGACTGACCGATTCCTCCTTCCCTCGCGGACACCTGGATTTTTCCCCAAACAGAACTGCTCGTGATGGGCAAGAGCCTATTCTCCGGACACCTCATACTGGGACAACCCCAGTATTCAGTCCACCTGTAACTAGCGCAATGGGAAGGAACATAGCGACAACAAGCTCTACACCCAATAGGGTTCACGAACAGAGCACACGATTACCGCCTCCGCCACCTATTTTTAGGTCCGGAGAAGGAATGTTTTTCCCTCCTAAGGGAAGAGCACCGGCTTCAGCTTACCAAAATGGGAGCGCAATCCCTAATCGAGACAGGCACCCGAGGACGGAAGCTGATCCTACAGCTCACCCCCCTGGTCGCGTCCCTCAAGGTGGCCCTGAGCTAGCGAGCGATTTAGCCCACCTAACGCTTGGGAGAACGACGACGCTCGACTCCATCAAGAATCTCCTCATCAGATTCATCATGACGACCCAACCGTCCTTCCCCTAGAAGGAACTGAGGCTATTCGCCGATACATGGAGCAAACTCACGCAGCTCTCCAAAAGTTGAACGCTCAAGTACACAAAGCAACGAGCTCAGCTCCCGAAATCGAGAGCTTGATTGAGGAAACCCGTGGAACCCCATTCACAAACAAAATTGCTAGCACTTACAAAAGAGATACCCGAAAAATTAGGATCCCCGAATATGACGGGACCTCAGACCCTAAGGCTCATTTGAGAGCCTTCCGCTTAGCTATAGTGAAAGCTCACTTCACAAGAGAAGAATGCGAAGCAGGTTATTGCAGAACCTTTGCTGAGAACCTGGTCGGAACAGCTCTCGAATGGTTTTCAAGCCTCAAGCCAAACTCAATAGATAACTTTGACCAGCTCACCAACGCCTTCATGAAGCAATACTCAACCCATATCCTCAAGCAAGCTTCCGAGGCTGACCTCTGGAAAATCAGGCAAGGAATGGGAGATTCGTTACGAAACTACATCGAGAAATTCAGAGCAGTCAGAACTAAGCTCTCGAACCCCAACGATCAAGTTGCCATCGAAGCCCTTAGAAGAGGCCTCTGGTATAAATCAGAATTCTGGTCCGAGCTAACGCTTAACCCTCCCCCAACTATCGATGATGCTCTTCACAAAGCATCGAGATACATTACCCTGGAGGAGGAAACAGCTGCACTAGATAAAATCCATAAGAAATCCCAGAATCACCCGAAAGGTGAAACCTCGGAAGCAAAAGGACCCTCTAGAAAAGGGAGCTCCCGGAATAATCAGACCCAGGGAGAACATTCCTATGCTGTCGAGGAAGTCCAACAGGAAAAACCTGTTGCCGCGACAAGCAAAACCCCCTGGTCAAAAGGCTACGATGAGAACAAACACTGCTCTTACCACGATCGAAAAGGGCATTCAACCGAGGAATGCTGGGACCTCCAACGACAGTTGGCAGCTAAATTCGTAGCTGGGGAACTAAAGGACGTGGAACACAAAAAACCACCTCCTTACCAGAAAAGAAGTCCCAGAGACACCTCTCCAAAACGTGAATGATCACCTGAGAAGGAAACAGATTCGCCACCGCCAGCTCCCAAGAAAAGAGTTGACATGATTCTTGGGAAATTTCCCCAAGGGAAGAGTCTACAAATCGAGACCCTCCTAAGCAAACCACCGCCTCATTCGAGCCCCAGCTCAAGAGTGGATTATATCCTCGGAGGCTCCGATATATGTCAAGACTCAGTTAATTCAATCAAGAGTCATGTGCGAAAGGCTGTTTCTAATGCTCAATCTAAGCCTCCCAATCCCGAATCCAACACTAAGATTTCTTTCTGGGAGAGCGAGACATCAGA